CCTTTGAGCACAGTTGGCATGTAATGGTAGATAAAGCATAATAGACAGAAAAAAAATGGAATTACTTTTCCTTAATTCATCTGGTAAAAAAAAAAAGCCAGTACCTTCTCTCTAGAGTATAAAAATGTTGACCAAACTACTGAAAAATATCTTTACAAAAATACATAGCAAGGCTTGTTTGCTTGTTTTTCAACAAAGAAATAAAATTCATTCATTTCAGCTTGTAATACATTTTGGGTGATGTGTTTGTTAATAGGAATTCTTATTCACTTGACCTGCCAAGTAAGAAAAGGTGACAAAATGTCTGAGAAAATGAAACGTGGGCTTTTGGCATCAAGCACAGAAAAAAATTAACTAATTATTTTCTTTTGATGATTTACTGAAAATATTAGCAAGCAGAATATTCTTTTACTAGTGATGTATATACTCCAACTACATCAACTTTAGGAGTATATTAGTTCAAAGATTTAGTAAACAGCTAACTAATTATAAATCTAAAATTCTGTGTTATGAGGGGTGATACAAAGTCACTCAGGCTATGTATAAACTGTGGTAAAAAGCAGGATGCTATAAGTAAGATCAAAGTCAAGAGATGATTACCCATGAATAAACTGTTACTCCAGAATAACAGCTTTCCTGAATACCAACAGTAAACATTAAAGCAGTTCTGTTAAAAAAAAAAAAAAAAAAGGCATTAAAAAACTTACCTTCCCGCCATTTACAAAAAAGACAAGCCCATCTGATTGTTGGGGGCAAGCCATGCTGTTGCATTAAAGTCTGAAAAATAAAGCTTTATACATTAAGAGAAAGTAATGAAATGTGATATGCTCCTAAAGGTCAACTGAGTTTGCTTTGTCCTGCAGAATTTATTTTCAGACTAAGCATCAAATTAAGCAGATGGGGAGAAGCCAGTGTAATGTATGCCATTTCTCAGCAATTAATGCATGTTCAGATGCTAATACACCAAACTTTTTCTACTCCTTCCCCCCACCCCAACTTTTCTCTGGTGAGCTGAAATAATCTGGAAAGAATTTGAGCCCCTCTAATTCTAACGCTGTAACCTAAGAGGCAAGGCACTTAACTGTGAGAGGGCACTTCTGGATTTGAGCTACAACTGCCATGCCTATTTTTTATATTACCCAGCAACTGATGAACTTGGAATATGTATGAATGCCTGAAGCTAGAACCCAAGACATGCAACATTACCCACTTCTGTGGGGTGTCAAATGCTAAGCTGTGGAGCCATGCTTCTCATTTTAGCTTGTCACTGACCTGAACTATCTATATTTTTTTTCTGCAGAGTGACCAAGTTTTAACAAAATCAGGATTACTACCACACACACATTTAAAATTTCCTTCTGGTTATGTCTATGCCATGCCAGCTCTATACCCTGACTGCTGTGGGTGCCAATAGAAGGTGACCATGCTCTAGCTATACCATGTTCTTAGAGAGAGAAATCCCAAATCCTGATTTGGGATTCTAGATTCTTACCCATTTCTATGGATGCATGTACAGGAAACAAGGTCATTAATCTTTAAATGTTGTATTATAGCTGGCTTTTTTTTTTTTTTTTAAAGGAGACTTATGTGTGTGTCTTTCAGAAGTCTCCATTTGTGTATGCACATGTCTTTGTTTCATTTATCATTTTTACATTTTACAGCAAAGGTCTCTATTTCATTTAGAGTCAGGGTAGGCTTACAAGACAAAGTAGTCAGTCCCATATCTTTTATTACTTCCCTTTAGAAGGAAAGAAAATGATTCTCAGCAGAGATATGCTGCTGCTTTTGTGTTTTAGCCCCTAATGTATGCCTGAGAGCTACCACAATACAAGCACTGAAGCAATGTCAGTTACTAGGTCCTGCAGGCAAAAGCCCTAATGGGTCCTGCCAACTGCAGCACTGCTGTAGTTTTCCACATGTGTTATAGGTACAACGATACAGGTTCAAAGGTCTGAGAAAGGACCAGACTCAATACTAGATTTTGGCAGTCCAATATCTAATTTTCAGAGTACCAGGGCCTCCAAACCAAACCTAGTATTTATGTTAGGTGTTTAAGCTTCCACACACCCCAAATAGAGTGCAAGGGTGGATAGGTATAGAAACACTTCTTTCATGATGAAAACAAATAGAAAGAGTTCTCAACCATCTCCAGTTTGGGTGTTTCTGTACAGTGTACATTAATGTGTCAATAACCATCCAATGCATCAGTGCCTTTGGAGCCCTAACCATTCTGCTTATCTAGACCCCTGAGTCTGCACATTCTAAACAATGTTAAAAATGTAATAATCCCCACCTGTTTAACACCTGTATAGTCTAAGAAAATTTATTCCATAATATCCCATGTAGTCATAATGTCATCTGTTAGGATGTTTCATTGCTGATACTTCTATCTTCCATGCAGTTTTTCAAACACCTACAAACCAGGACACAGCTTAATATGTTTAAGCTCCTCAAAAAACCCAACAACCCATGTTTGGTACATGTACAGACTTTACTAAGACAACTAGACAACAGTCCCATTTGTAAAGAGGCAGGGAGGAATCTTTGTTAATAATAACTGAGAAATACTGACAAGCAGACATGTGATCTGCATTGCAGAAAACAAAGTGCAGGTCTAGAACATGATGAATCCCTGGAGTGCAAACACCTCAGCACTGCAGGTGGGGAGACGTCATTGCCAGTAAGAGATGGGCCATGATTTTTACAAGATTTGACTTGTCTGGAACTAACCAGCACCTGAGCTGATGCATAGGCACATAGGAGAACCACAGACACTGCACCTTCCCCCAGTTCAATAGATCTATATGCTCCCTGCTTCAGTATATCCCAGGATTTACCCACATTTGGGGGCTGTTATTGACATGTCAGCTGTCATTAACAGACCCCTGCAATGAAACTAAGATGACATTTCAAATCAGAGAAACTAATTATGGAAGCAGCATTAACATTTAATTTAATTTATTTACTTTCTTAAAATATATAAAAGCCAAAGTAATACAAAGAAAGTGAAGAAAAAGAAGTAAAAACAACTGGGCTTCAGCTGCCTAAATCACACTTCTAGTGCCACTTCTGATAATTGCTATAACCTGCTTGGCCTTCAGTTGCTGTGTCATATCTTCCAGTCCTGTGTTCTCCTATGTTTCTGCTGTCTTACAGCATCTAAAATGGTATTAGACATCTATGTTTAAGCAGCTGAATTTCACCTACTCATAGCAGTTACAGAGATTCAAACAAACTGATACAAAGATTTCGTATCTTAATAGCCAATGCAAAACCAGTTTAACCTACTAACCTGATTTCTGTCACAGATACAGTATCAACTCATGAAAGGGATGGAAGGCGAGAAGAGAAAATAGTCTGTGGAAAACTGAGGAGCAGTGAAATAATAAGAGCCTGCAGGCTGACATGTCAAACAAATTAAAGACATTTATTTTCATTACAAATTAAAGTCTTCATGGCTCTGGAGCAATCCGACCTATGAGTAACTGGAAGAACCATCACCATGCTCAGCAAGGAATAACTGATGTAGACGTCCACTGAAACTACACATCGAACATACAAACTACCAATTTTCCCAGTTCTACTTTCTTATGAGGGAACCTGCTGCAATTTTTCAGGTGCCACTTTGGGTAACTTCTGTGGACTCACTAAAAAAGTGAAGTGTTTTCTCTGTGTTACGATTTATCACAGATAAAATGCCGAAATCCAAATACCATGGAGCTTTGTGTATGTGTGTGACTCTGTGTGTGTGTGCATTCAGAACTGAAATCTCAGCTTTAAGAGGAGGAAAAGTTCTCAGTCAGATCAATATTGTGGATTCTGATGCTGATATCTGAATGTTGTGGCTGGAGCTTTCATAATATATTGACTTTTATAGATTCTATGTAATTTTTTGGTCTTGTCTTAGGTTACAAATATATACATACTTCAAATTTAATAACAGCAGAATTTCTGTTACCATTTAAATCAGTGCTGCTATATATTTTTTTGTTTTCTCCAGCTGCTGCTATTTCACTGTGGCCTAATCCCACTGCACCCTAGGCAGCATTAGATGACTGATCTTTGCAGATCATCTTTTGATCTCATTGTTTTTTCTATCTTTATCACCGGAGTGGCCAAGAGTGAGAGAAATCTCTTAACTTTCCTGGCTCAATATAATTACAAGCACAGGATTAAGCACTGCTTAAGAATCCTTTACAGAGACAGGCTCATCCAGTCTCCTAATCAAAGTACACTGAAATCCATGTGAGTTTTCCCATTAAGTTCAGATGATTTTGGCTTCCTCCATGAGAAAAAGAAAGCTTCCAGGGGAAATGCCAACTAAGTGACTCTTCCAACTTTTGGGATAAAATTCATCTCCTATATATGTATGTCAGCCATAGAAATTCGCCTGGCATAGCAAAAGAAAACCATAACTCTTTTTTCTTGCATGTTTTTAACACAAAGATGTCTGTGCCAAAAGAATCTGAAACAGCTTTACTACAAATCAGAGCATCATTTCCAATCAAAAAGGGTCTGAATCCAACAAAGGTGGCTCTGATTCTTCAACAAAGATCTCTGCACTCACACTCCACTTCAAGATTCAAATCTAAATTAGAAAATTAGCTGAAGCCATTAAAAAATAATTTATCATATGAAGTTAAGTGTAATAAGTTGCAGTAATTTATCTAACATAGCTTTATACTTCATCCTAACTTGCTTCTCCTGCAGCATGTGAGCTGTGCTGTTCAGCAGATCTTTCTCGTTGAATATATATGTTTCAAATGCAGGAGATGTATTTCTAGCAATTAAATGCAGTAATTTAAGCGAAGTACTGTAGTGGATATACTGGATGGAGAATGAAGATAAAGATAGAAGATGTAATGTGCCTATTTTTGGTAACTGATTCTATTCTGAAAATGAGAAAATATATTTATCTGTGTGTTGATTAGTGTGTATTGGGGCAGTAAATCAGTTTTTCATTCCATTCCATTCAGGTTTTGTGCACGCTGGTTTGTCATTCACACAGATATGGCCCAAGGAGTGGAGGAAGCAGATTCATCGTTTGTCATCTAAGAGAACAAACAAGAAATGAAAAGAGTGGCTTGTTAATGTTATTTGACTGTCAGGCTCCCAATATTGTCCTTATTAGGTGCCTCCAAGTCACTCAGCAGGGTGTTCTACAGGAGATACCTACAGAAGATGGCTGGAAGGAAGGTCAGTGATAACTGGGGTCAGGGCCAAACATGGATGGAGAAGCATAGTCTCTGCACTGGTGGACCTCACCTCCCGCAAGCTCCTGCGATGAGAGTAAGCCCGTGAACTTAGTGATCTGGGGGCCGATGATGCCCCACCTCGGCCACAGAAATACTATGGGAGTAATCTGTGGGAGCTCAAGAGTTTCAATGGCAGAGCCTCAGAGGTTCAGGGATTTTATGGATTTATATGCTGGCAAGGACCTTGCTTCACAGATGTTGTATGCTAAATGAAAACTTACAAAGAAAAAGAATTGTAATAGCAGTGGGAACATGACTACAGTGAACAGTTGCAGAAAACATGGAATATAAAGGATCAGCATTATAAGAAGTGTATTGCCTCATTTGTTTTTCTTCTGTATCCTTTTGTTAGCTCTGAGTCAGGTTTTTTTTCCTCCCAAAGAGTACTGAGCATAGCAAGAAGTACCAGAACAAGGTGACAGTGCCAGAGTGCAAGTCACTGGGGGAAAACACCTGGAAGGAGACTGAAGATGCTTGGAGGCTGATCTAGTATTCATTGCATGTTGATAAGAGGAGCTATTTAATCCTCTATGGGATTTGACATACAGAAGAAAGAGGGAGGCTTCAGGGAAAGAGGAGGTAGA